ACACGTTTCAGTTTCACTGACGTTCAGAGAGAAGCTGGCAAGAGCTTGCAGATAAGTTGGCCTCTTCCATGCAAACTATGTGCTGCTAACAACAAAAGCAATCACAAGAAGGATTTACTGCACTTCCTTCTTGGCAACCAGTTTAACAAGGTGACCAGCTGGTTGGGGACTACACAGTTAGAACCAGAGTTACCCTACAACTTCTCTTTACCCTGTGCGACTGCGGCCTACGGTAAATTATTTAAAAAAACAAAACATAACAGATGACTACATAGATGAGGAAGATGAAAGTCGTGCTGCGAAAAGTGAGAGGTGGAAAGAATTCTTCTTTGACACCAGGAGGCAGTTGTAGGGTTAGCCACATGTGAGTGTGCACAAGAGAGTTTCTCTGGCTTAATACAGTCACATAAATAATGTCCACTTGGCTGCCTGGGAGCTGGGTCTCTTGACACAGTAGATATATTCCAGACTCCTCAGACCAAAAAGGGTTGCCTTGCACCCTCCAGTGCTTTCAATCTTCCAAAGCCAGCATGATAGCTAACAGCTTCCATTTCCCAAAGTCACAGTTACTCTCTGTGGGTGCCAGTTTTCTGCAAATAAAGGCTAACAGATTAATCTTGTTGTCAGCATTAAAACACTGGGGTAGCACTACCCTAACCCACACATTCAAGCATTGACCATGTTGCGTAATTGCTTAGGAAGATTTGAGGATGACAGAAGGGCAAAATCCATATTTGATAATCTTAAACGCATGCTCTGTGGCTTTTGTCCAGTCTAAACATTAGTGCAGCAGAGCAACGCAACAGAGCAGTGGTGATGTATAAGTTAACTGTAGCTGTATAATTTAGCAAAGCCCAGTAACGGTTTTTAGTGCACTAACTATGTTGTAGCCAATTAGGATGTGCATTGAACTTAGAATTACCTATGCCTCATGAAACAGAAAGACCGAAAAGAGGAACTGTGAAGTATTTAACTACAATTTATCTGTCTGTCTAATCTACTGATTAACTAATGTGACACAGATGTTACGAGACAGTGATGAGAAAAATAGCCCAAATCAGCAAGTCAACAACTGTGGATACATGGCGTAAGAGATGTATAAGTAAAAGAGGAAACAACAGCAAAGTCTAAGTGGCAGTGCGGTAATGGAGAAACATTAGAACTCAGTGAAAGTTTCAAGTGTCCAGTTGTCATTCTGAAGGAAAAGGGACTTTCTCTAAATCACATCATGGCTAGACTGAAAGTTTCCCAAGTGTCACTACACGGCATGCTAAAATGTTTTGCAGAAACTGGATTAATTATGTCCAACCACAGTGTTGCACAACAAAAATGACCACACCAACAGAAGATCAATACACAAAGCTTTGTTCACTGAGACACAGAAAAACAACTTGGTCACATACAGAGAACTTACGAAAGAAAACAATACGTGATGTCAATTAGCAAAAGTATTCGCAAAAGAACACTCTAGTAGCAGTGTCAGTGGATGAAAAGACAAAAAGTAGAAATTTGTGTAAAGGTAGAGTACATGGCAGAGGTCTAGGACTGGTGCCCATGAGCTTGTTGTATGTGTACCTAAGAAAACATCAAGTGTGTACGATCATGTGAAAAAGGGACAGGAGAAAGCACATGCAAATTTAAGACATTTATTAAACTTCACTTCAAGTTGCTGCAAATGAGGTTCTGCAAGATATTGAATCATGGGATATACTTAGTTTTTCACAGGAGTCTTTTGCAGTAAGTACAAAAATAGTCATACAAAAAATGCAAATTTTTTAATGACTAACTATACTTACTAAAAAAATACACACTGTTACCATATTTTCCGCACTGTAAGGCGCACTTAAAATCCTTTAATTTTCTCAAAAATCGACAGTGTGCCTTATAATCTGGTGCACCTTATGTATGAATTCTGGTTGTGCTTATTGACCTCGAACCGATTTTATGTGGTACACGGGCTCAAAAATCTGTCAAAAATGTTTTAGTATGACTTTGGTAAACTATGAAGCCACACTGCTAATGGATTCTTGGAGCATTACGGCTGCAGTAGTCAGGAGCCTCGCGGAGTAATCTGGGTCCAAAACTGTCCTTTTCAGGTCCCAAAGTCAAACGAACACTGCGGCATCACTGAGAGTTACAAACTGTCTAAATTCTTTCATCTTTAGTAAAATTATCAGTGTAGCTGCTTTACCAGGTGTAACAATTAAGTTTAACATCCAGGCATCCATGAAAACAGAGTTTTTTTAATTTAACGGAGTTAGAAGTTAGCAGGAAGTTAGCTCGCTAGTTTCCACCTAAACATGATATGCCATGTTCTGACTGAGAGATTTCTGAAAAAATTAAAACGTACAGCTCTGCTATCACTTCCAACATAAATGACGATAGAAAACTAAACAGCAGTGACGTTTGTAGGGTTACTGAAGTTGGGTTAGCTGGTATATAATGATGTGCTACGTGATCGATAGCAACACAGCTATGTTAGCATAACATAAACAGTGAAACTGGAGGATGAACGCTAACTTTTTTCCACTTGATAAAAGTTAGTGGACAAATAAGTTAATGGTTATGGACAAATGCAATCACATGGCAGGATGCTGTAAATCAGCGGTCCCCAACCCCCGGGCCTCGGACCGGTCCTGGTCCTTGAGTTGTTTGGTACCGGGCCGCGAGAGTTGAGGCTCAGGTGCGAAATGTATGGTTTTCAGGGTTTTTATCGGTTTTCAGCGTTATTTTGTTATCGTTTTGATCGTTAACTCGGTTTTCCTTGGTCTTTTCACGTGTGTTATGAATAAATCTTCTTTTTTTCGGTACCAGTACTAGTTTTATTTTGTTGTATTTATCTGCGACACATTAAAGGCCGGTCCGTGAAAATATTGTCGGGCATAATCTGGTCCGTGGTGCAAAAAAGGTTGGAGACCGCTGCTGTAAATGGACCAAATTTCAGTCAGGAGAACAACTGAGATAACCCATCCACAATACGAGGTTAGTCATTAATATACTGCAACAACATAGGAATAGAGCAGCTGCGAGAGAATTCAAGATTAATGAATTAATGGTATGGAAGTGAAGGAAACAAGAAGAATGAGTTGCGTAAAGTTTGACTTATCTGACTGTTTTGTTTCGCTTAATGCGCCTTGTAACTCGGTGCGCCTTAGGGTCTGAAAAATATGGTCAAATGTGTGTGTGTGTGTCTTCTTAAACACAAATTAATATTACTGTCAGTTCTAATGCATTGATTCTATGAACAAACAAACATCATCCAATGAGCCTTACCATAGTTCACTTCACCGCATTTCAGGCTGTTATTTTATAATGTACAACATGTTGAAGTACATAGTTGTGAGAAATGGCACAGAAATTGTCTTTTTTTTTTTAAATTCAAAAATAGCAAAAAACAACAACCAAAACATGGCATTTTTGAAATTGGCTTAAATACATAAGACCTGGTTTTCCACCCATTACATTGCTTGCACATGCATGGTTGTTCAGTAATTGAAATTAACATATAAAGCCACAGTTCAGTGTCTTTTTTTCTTCATTGACTTAGTCACAGATAAATAAAGTGGAAATGTTAGCAGCTTTTGCACACTCATAGCTTACCAGCATAATTTACAGTTTACAAGAGAATACTTGAAATGACTCATACTATTCACACTTTCACACTGATACGTCATGAAGGTATCTTTATGGTTGGCAAGGGTATATTTTTTTAAATATTCTTTTGTTGTGGAACACTCATTAAAATAATAGATTTTTAGTGGGGAAACCCATGTCCACATCTGAAGAAGTACTGTCTTATCATCTATATAAGTTTACATTGACGTAAATACATTCAGGTAAGGAACATTGCTGCCATCAACACACAGAGTGGGGGTGGGTGCTGCCATCAACACACAGAGTGGGGGTGGGATCTGCAAGTGTCTATTATGTGTAGCGGTAGGGCATTTGGCGAAAGAGATGAAATTCATTTAAAACAATACAAACAAACAAACAAAATCACTTTTAAAGAACACAACAATAACTCTTTTAAACCCTTTCAGAAAAAAGCATCAGGACAAAAATCCAATTGAGTAGGGGTAAATGCAGTCTCAAGGTTTACTTAGAGAGAAAAGCCAGAGCAACCAAGCTGCCAAGCAACAGACAGCAAAGTAATTTGATTGTTAAAAGGTGACAGTTGGCATCAGCGAGCAATGGCTGGGGAGCTGTGGCTCATTAGTTTGCACTAAAGGTTCAATGGATATGTTTGAGCAAATGGTGTTTGCTATTTTTGAATGGGCTGATTAGATTTGTTGATGGACATTTTACCCTGCACTCTGATGCATTTATTGCATTTGATGCACTCTA